AGCAGACACAAGATCTTCCAGCAAAGTGTTGGGTATAACCAGCGGCAGCAGCCAACGGAACTGGCTGCTTGAAGAAGTGGCAGGGTCAGAGTTGGCTAGTGGCCCACTCAGGGTCCCCCCCCCCCCCCGCCCCAGCCCCTGGAGCCTAGGAAAGAAATCCCGGAGTCCGCTGCTCCCGCCAGGACGGCAGACTTTCTCCCTCGCCACACTTACCTCAGCGCTGGCCGCGGGCAGGTGGAGAGAGACCCCCTAGGGGCTGCTGCTGCTGCTGGACGCGCCCTTGCCCAGCCCGCCGGGGATCCGAACGCGCCTTGCTCCGTGCCCGCTTTCCCGACGCGCCCCAGCCATTCACTTTCACACGACCGCCGCAGCCTCATTCGGAACTCGCTCCGCTCTGCCTGGGTCCTAGCGCCATAAAACGCGCGTCCGGGGAGCTGCGCGGACTCGGCCGGGCGCCAAACGGAAAGGCCCCGTCGGGGAGCTGGTCTGACTCCTGAGGAAAAAGCTTCCTCCCGCTGCTCGGCGGGGCTCCTTTTGCTTCGCTTCTGAGGCACGCGCTCAAATCCCGTCTCCTGAGGAGGATTGGTGGAAATGTGAGCCACGGCTCCGGAGCTTTCCAATTTCTGAGCGCGGGAGGAGGCTGGACCCCAGGAGAACCCCCCGCCCCCTGCCATCCCCAGCCGGCCAGCGGGCGGGTCTTTGGCATTGGCCTGATGTGAAGAGCAGTTCAAGCCTGCACCGGAGGAGAGTCCGAAGTTTGACTCCCCTCGGTCACGTCCGATTCAAGGGACCGCTTAGGATTCCAAGTGGCGCCTAACGAAACGCCGAACCCTCCAGTTATGAACTCCAGGCTTTAAGAAAACGGCTGCCGGGAGTCCCGTCGAAGGACGCCGGTCTCGAGTAGCAGGGAATTTGGTTGCTTAAAAAAAAAAAGTGGCGATTAGGCGAAAAAAAAAAGACTCGGCAATGGAGACTTAAAATGGGAAGAAATGACTCGGCAAACCGACTGAATCAAATCGAGGGAGAAAAGCGCTTTTGGAAATGAACCGAGTTCCAGCTGAATGGACTTTCGACGTGGTGCGGTATGCTTACTCATAACTTCAGAACCGGTTTTCAGATGGGTAACAATCTTACAGTCTTGCGGTCAAAATGGTAGAGACACGTTTAGACACAGCAGCGAACCCTGATATGATTTGCTACTTTGTAGCTTAGTTCGAATCAAACCAATGTTTGCTGGTACATGATGTGAAAGGCTTGTGGCATCCAAAAGAGCAAAACGGGGGATAATAGTTGACTTCAGGAAATGAGATATGGTCAACTAGGACCTGGATGACTGAGAATCTCCATAGACATTAATCTGACATATGTACCCATTCTTGGAGAAAAACGGGAAATAGGCGGACAGTAAAGAAAGGAAATGCTGACCTCAGGAAAATCATCATCCCAGTCTTACATCAAAGAATGCAAAGAGTGCTCTTTAAAAGCCAGTTCAAACGCCACACTATATCTCACAATAGCGAATTCTGTGATCCAATACAGTAACAAAGCAGGNTGCTGGGAAGATGTGTAGCTAAAAGTCAGTCTACATTTAGTGTACATCTGACTTTGGGGGATATTTCTTCATAACCAAACAAAAGTGTATTTTCTGTGCACTTCATATCCCTTGCTCGCTGGATCTGGAGGTCACAAATCAAAGCCCACATTTTGTAATTAGTGTACCATTTGGCTGGCAGAGTGCTACAGGAGACTGAGTGTTGTCATGCCCCCTGGCCATGCCTACTCAGCCACGCCCACCCATCCAGTCCTTAGGACAGAGAACCGGTTGTTAAATTATTTTAATCCCATCACTGGCTAGTTGTGGCAAAACACAACTGAAAACAGAGAAGTGATTAAGAAGGTGAAAAAAGAAATGAAGTTTCTGTAAATCTGCTATAAAAGAAGATTACTGATATCACCTTAGGGAAAAAAAAGCTATTTTCTTTGTTGGTATTCAACCCCCTACCACCTCCATTGTGGGGTGGTTTAATAAATGTGCTGTCAAACCTCAAGCAAGAATGGGGATAGAAGCAACCATATAAAGGGGGACTGGACTTAAAAGAAACTTACAAGTAATAACTTGCTCAGATTGTTATATTAGTTTTGTATAAACCTTTTCAATGCTGTTCTTTCAGTCTATAGAAGCAGAATGTAAAAGCAGGAGGAAAGAAAATATAAGAAGGAGGAACTACATATCTCTATAGTTCACATAAGGACAATGTATTCTGGAACTCCCTTTTTGTTAATGTTGAAATTCATACTTGGTTAACAATTCATATCTATATTTTAGTTTGTTTTAGTTACAATTGTTACAAGAATATAATAATCTAATTATATGGAAATGCAACATTTTCATTCCTTCAAGGAAGACTTGAAATCTACTACCTAAAAAAAGGTGTCTGTTTTTTGCTTTTCCCATTTACAAATGTCCCACCCAGGAGCTGAGAAAAACAAATTATAATTAATAATTGAAAAATTATTTCAGAAAAAAATATTTTTGCCTAAAATTACCATGAAATTGAATCCTTATAAATGTATTTCAAAAATCTGATTACTCTTCTCTCTCTTTTTTCTCAAAATGAGGAGAGAAAATGATAACCAAGAATCAACCAGATGGCCTTGATATTTGTTCCATCAAAGTAAAAGCAGGTCAAGTCATCAGTCCAAAAACATCTTTTCCAGATAATTTTGTAGTCTAGTTAGACTTACATATTTCTGAGATTTTATGAGGATTTGAGATGAACTGTACAACAAAAGGCAATGGGTCTTCCCATATTAACTAGACATTTCTGCCTGAAGACGTAGGGGGGATTTTTGCCTGAGCACTCGGACTGAGCAGCGAAAGTGTGACACGTTGGATGGCTTTCATTGCATTGTTGAGGCACATGAAAAGCAAATTTTGCTGCATCCTTTCAATCTATTGAAAAGTAGCTGGAAAAGAGAGATTGGATATCCCTTCCTCACTGTTCCTGCTTTCATTCTTTGAAAAGTCAATATTGTATGAACCAGGGGTGGGTTGCTACCAGCATTACTGCCGGTTCGGCATGCAATTTTTTTTGCAAACAGCTCACAGCCTACTAGTGGGCCACAGCCAGAGGTTGGAGAGCCCTGATCTACAGGGACCTTGAAAATAGGGCTCTAGTGAAACTGCTTATTTTAGCCTCCTCTGCTCTCTGTATTATTGCTGCATTGAAACATAGTCTGGTTTCCTCACTCCTGCTCCTCTGGACAATGCTTCTGTTTCATCCTCATAGATACAGATATTGTAGTTTCCAGATTTTCATTGATGCACTGACTGAATATGCTGAATATGTTCTGCTGAAAAATATGACATTGAGTGTCATTGTGCCCAACTTCCACCCCAACTTGTCACCTCTGAGAAACAATGGGTAGAAGTGCTATGAATGCTATCTTTAGCTGTTAAAGTTATAGTAAGGCAGAAAATGAAATAATAAATGAGTAAATGAATGCATTTAAAAACAGTCAGCTAGACAAATAAACATGCTTAGAATGAAACATAGCCCTACTTTGGGCAAGAACTCTACAATTATGACATTATTGTTGCATTCTGCCTCTGTTCTTTTCATTCTTCAATTCATTCATTCATTCATTCATTCATTCATTCATTCATTCAGTTTGTACCTCATGTTTTCAGTCTGGTGAGTGTTAAAATGACTAATGTAATGTAGTAAATAAAAACAGAATTATTAAGGATTTAAATCATACATTAATGCCAAAAACCTTTCGTTAAACTCTTCTATACCAGGTTATTACAGTCTAGAAATAAATACTTCCTTTTTACTTTTTTAATCACTATAGTAAGGTGGCACCAGTTTCTGGGATCTCTATTTCTCATACTCAGAGAAGGCAATCTTGGAAATTGTGCAGTGGAAGCAAGTCAGACCAAGAGAATGAAGAATAAGAAGATTTCCGGAAGGGGAGATTGGAGTCATTGCCCTTTATTCCTACAGGCTTAGCTATGCTGCTGCAGTATGGAACTCAACCCTGTATGTGTAGTAATTTGTAAGCCCCTTCTTTTTACTTCCTTCTGCATATTCACTCTAGTCTTTTAGAGAAATTTCCAGAAATACCAAATTGAGTTGTGGAAGGAATTGGGAAATTAGCAGACGTATTTGATTCATGAGTCAAAATATTTCATGTTGCTGTAGCTTTTGGATTCCATTCCATGTTCATGGAAGTTCATAAAAAGTCATCCATGTCCTTTTTCCATGTTCAGAAGTTAATCTATTTAAAATACTGGAATAAATAGCACATACTACTTCTTGATCCTTTGGGGAGCAAAACCAAAGCTCCCAAAGCTATGGATAAATACTCTGGGCACTAAATTNATATGCCGTGTCAGTTGCTCTATAATGTACTGGAATCTGGTGACCTTGAGGTCAACCACACAATTGTTACAAAGATATTGTGAAAGAAATCCTATGCCACTGTGATAGTCAACCAAGGAAACTAAAAGCTGTGACTGCTGACACAACTTGTTGGCAAACCCTGTGAAGCAGAGGTGGTATTCAGCAGGTTCTGACCAATTCTGGGGAACCGGTAGCGGAAATTTTAAGTAGTTTGGAGAACCGGTAAATACCACCTCTGACTGCCCCCACCTCCATCTATTCTCTGCCTCCCGAGTCCAGCTGATTGGGAGTGGATGGAGATTTTGCAGTTACCTTCCCCTGAATTGGGGAGGGAACGGGGATTTTACAGTATCCTTCCCCAGCCATGCCCACCAAGCCACGCTCACCAAGTAACACCACGTCCACCAAGTAACGCTCCCAGAACCAGTAGTAAAATTGTTTTAATCCCACCGCTGCTGTGAAGCCTCTGTCAGCTTTGAAGAAGGCACCACTAAAAACTATTAGAAAAAGTGAGCGGCATCGCAGAATAATACCCAGAGGCTTCTGGTTCCTTCATGCTAGGCTCTACATTTCCAGATTGGAACTTAGAAAACTCTGTTTATGTCATGTTGCATTATGGTTTTTAATAATTAAAAGGATTTGTTTAATTGGTAATTCTTATTGATTAATACCATTAGAGTTTCTTTTTAGGTGTTTTGCAAATGAGGCTCATCATCATTCTTAACAGGATGGAACCTGTTTTTCCCTGCATAGGGTGGCTCTTGGTTGTCCCTGCATTGGGCATGACGTGAAAAAAAATTGCTTACAAAACCCATTTTTTTTCTCCTTAAGTATTCATTTCTACACTAGACAAGCAACTGAAATGGAGTCTATGATAACAGAGTTTACAAGATTGTTTGGGGACATAATCTCATTCTTGGGATGATATCCCTTTTGCAATCTGAAGAAGGTTCAATAAACACTCAGCATTAACCTGCATAAACACAAATACACACATTTTGCATTTTATCTCTCCAATTAATCAGCCATAAATTAATAAATGTATATACTCTTCTTTTCTTATGTCAATATTGCCTATGTACAAAACAGTGTTGTTGATATCTGTTCAATAAAATAGTTCCCAAGCAATTC